TCTTCGCCACGTCATCCGCGCCGCCCGACGGGTGGGCACCCTTCTCCGAGGGGCTCGCGGCGCCGTGGCCGCCCTTGGAGCTCCTTTGTTTGGCCGAGGGCATGGCGGGCTCGGCGGCGGGCGAGGTGGAGGGCTGGGACGCAAGCGAGCGGGGCGCGCGGCCCGGGAAACTTGCTGGGCTCCCCCGGGGCTGGGAGAGCTACACGCGGGCGCTGCTAGCGTCGGAGGGGGAGAGAGAGCGCGGGCGGGCGGGCAAGGCAGGAGGCCGGGCCCAGGGAGGAAGGAGGAGGGGGCCGCCGCAGCCGCCGCGGCGCCGACCCCGCCTCCCGGGAAGAGAGGCCAAGCGAGCCAAGCTAGGAGCGCCTGCCACGCACGCGGGGCCGCCGGGCAGCCCCTCCTCCCCGCGCCACGACCCCAAAGAGGGCGGACCGAGTCCGGGGCGGGGCCGGCAGGAGGTCGAGGTGGGGGCAGCGAGGAGTCCGACGGAGGGGGAGGGCCGGGCGGGAGCTCCCGGGACAGGACCAGAGGTCGCGACGGCCGAAGTGGGGGTTGGGGGAAAGCGAACGGTGGTGCCCAGGGCCGGAATCGGGAATCGGGTTGGCCGAAATGGGGAGGGGGGTAGTCCTGGCGGGGTCCCGGAGGCCGAGACCAGAGCTAGAGGTGGGATAGGCGGCTGAAGAGTGGGGCAGAGGGGCGGAGTTTAAGGGCACCCAAATGGGCTGCCGCGGTGGCCGGGCGGGATGTACGGAGGCCGGGGCGGGCAGGATGCTATCCAGAGGCGGGGACCCCCGGGAGGATCAGAGTCACGAGCGCCCGGAACTACCGTGCATAATGGGCTGAGTGTGAGTTTCGCGCCCAGTACAGGAAAGAAAACTAAGTGAATTCACTCTAGGGGCCCATCTCCCGGAGAGTACGATTTAAGCGATGGGGCGAGCCTCCTATTCCCTCGTCTCTTATCTCGCCCATCAAGCCTCTACTGGGCTGGACCCTGTTGCTTTTCTCGGGATTGGAGGTCGAAAGGACTGTCTTAAAACGGGTCTACTTATCAGGCACTTTGGGTGAGAATTAGCAAAGAACGTTGCTCTTCATTAAGTCTGTTCAAAGAAACATTGGACGCCCAAGTTGTCTGTCCGCTATCGATTGCTCTTTGCTTTTTTTATGACGCCTTTTCAGCTGTTTTTACCTTGCGGCTCTTACCATCAACAGCCCAAACAGTAAACAGACACTGTACAAGATTCTGGAAAACCACCAGCAGCTGCACTCAAAAGGTTTGTCACCCTGACTTTTGAAGAATGGCAGGCACTGTCCTTAGCAACTTAAATATATATGTTCTTTGAAAACCTCTCACACACACACAAAAAAAAATAACCTTTATGGTGGGAATTATTTTACCCAATATATAGGAAGGAAACAGGCTGAATGATTTGTTCAAGGTTATGCACAGTCATAATTTGAACACATGTCTTTAAGTTTGTCCTGTCTTCGGAAACGGAAGGAAATGGACTCAGGAGAGATAAAGTAACTTGCCCACTCGGGGAATGGGCTCAGGAAAGATAAAGTAACGTGCCCACTCGCAGTAAACCTAGTTGGGGCTGGGACAGGCTCAGAAATCCAGTTTTTCCTCTGTGTCTGGAGTCGACCTGGCACTGTGTCTTAGGGATGTGTCCTAGGGATGCTGTCTCTTCTTCTGCCTGTAACCTCCCAAGTCTGTGTTAAAAAAAATAATAATAAAATTATGTCCTCAAGCCCTGGTTTAAATGACACCACTTTCAAGATGCCTTGCCTGTAAAATGGCTTGGTACCTCTCATGGGACTTAGATATAGCAGATCATTGCAATATCTAAGTTGTTGTTCGGTGCCATTGAGTCAGAACCGACCTATGCCTAATGCACAGCTGAAGGAAACACTGCCCGATCCTGGGCCAACCTCACTACTGTTGCCACGCTTGAGTCCATCGAAGCTGCCGCTTGGCCAATCCATCTCATTGGGGGTCTCCCTGTTTTTCTCTGACCCTCCACCTTACCAAACATGATAATCCTCCAGTGACTGATCCCTCCTGACAATATGTTCTAAGTATGAGAGACGAAGTTTAGACATCTTGGCCTCCAAGGAACACTCTGGCTGCACTTCTTCCAACACAGATCTGTTGGTTCTTTTGGCAGCCCCATGGCACTTTCAATACTCTCCTCCAACACCACAATTTAAAAGCATCAATTCTTCTGCGGTCTTCCTTATTC